GTTGGGCGCGGATTAACACGAGCCTTGGACACTCCGCCCACTAATGCTTGCACGGCACACATGGACTAAGTTGGAGGGATCTCTCGGACCGAACACGCGCGCACGGATTCTCAAACACACGCACGAGCGAATGCACGGCATTATGCACAAGGACATGGACCGAGCAATGCACGGCAAATTAGCATGAATGGATTAAAATCCGAACACTTAATGCTAATCTCGTGATTAATGTAAATTAATCACTTAACTATGTTTAATCATCCAATTAAACATAATGCTAAATTACCAAAATTATTCCGAACGTAAACGGTACGTCGAAAATATTTTTCGGTAATTCCGACTGAAATAACTGAAAATAAATAATTCCGAAAAATAATATCGGAACTGAAATATTATTATACTGATAAAAAGTCGGGATATTACAGGGCCGAATTTCTTTTGTTTTATTTTTTCTTTTTGGTTCGACTTTTGTTCGAATTTTTATAGAATCAAAAAAAAAAGAGAGAGTCATGACGAATCGTGAGAGATTCGATGCACTTGAGGAAAGCGTGACGTCCCTTGGCAACGAACAACACGTGCTCAATGAAAACATGGCAAAGTTGGAGCTGATGATACACGACTTGGCGGGACAGCTCGAAAAAGTCAACCACCATACGCGGAGGAGCCGCACATCGAGATCATCCTTGGCAGGAACGGACAGTTGGACGTCTAGTCGTGATGACGACGACGAACGGTCGGGGGAAATGCGCGCGACGCGCACTACCCGACACCACGGCGATCGCAGGACGCATGGCCATCGGCATCATCGCGAGGAGCACGTACGTGCGAAATCGAAGATAACGATGCCAACGTTCGAAGGAGTAGATCCGGATGCATGGTTAAGTCGTGCCGTGAAATTCTTCGAGATCAATGAGGTACACAAGTCTGAAAGAGTTCAAATTGCTGCCTACTACTTGGATGGGGAAGCCAACACATGGTGGCAATGGGTGTCACATGTTTATAAAAATAAAGGCGAGCAAATCAGGTGGCGAGATATTGAGAAGGAGCTGATTGCCAGGTTTGGATATAGCGAATACTTTGATTATGATGAGGCGCTGACAAGGATCCGCCAAACCGGTAGTCTACGCGACTATCAGAAGGAGTTTGAGAGAATAGCAAGCCGGGTTCAGGATTGGCCCGAAAAGGCACTAGTAGGTGCGTTTGTAGGAGGCTTAAAGGCTGAGTTGGCTGCAGAGGTACGATTGGACAGGCCAAGGTCAACAAGGGCTGCCATGGAAGCAGCACGACTGCACGAGGATCATCTCGCGGCAGTGCGCAGGGCCAGACCAAGCGAGGGGCGCACGAACGTTCGGTGCGCGAGCGTCGCGGTCGACGATACGCCCCCACGGGCCGAGGTCAAACCCACAGTCGGCGATGGTACACGCACCACAAGCAACTACCGATGGCTGACGGAGGATGAAATACAAAGGCGAAGGGAAAAAGGCTTGTGCTTTACTTGCAACGAGAAATTTGTGCCAGGCCACAAGTGCAAAGGTAAGGAAATTTTTCTATTGGAAATTGAGGAGGAACGAGAGGAAGAAAAGCCACAGGAAGAGTCCTGGTTGCATATGGCGAAGTGCAATAAGCGTGGTCCTAGAATGATCAGATTCACGGCTGAGATAAAGGATATGTTGCTAGAGGTCCTGGTGGACAGTGGGTCGAGTTTAAATTTTATCGATGAAGGGATAGCCCGGAAGTTGAAATTGGTACCCACAAAAGTCAAGAAGTTTGGTGTCAAGGTGGCCAATGGACATGAGCTGCAGGGAAGTCAATTATTCAATAAGGTCCCGATAATGGCACAGGATCACGAGCTGGAAATTGATCTTTACGCCTTACCGCTTAAGGCAACATATATTGTGTTAGGAGTACAGTGGCTGGAAACGCTTGGACCCATTACGACTGACTATAAGCGAGGAAAGATGGAGTTTGGATGACCAGGAAAGCGCATTAAGTTGAGGACTGAGGATCAAGGTGAATTTCCCGTTGAAGAATATAGTGACGTGGATGTACTGAATTTCTTAATCCTTGAGGACAAGGAACGTCTTGAAGAGGAGGGGAATGATACGAAATTGGTCGTTGAGGCCGAAGATTGGCCGGGGGTGATTGATGGTCGCAGAGGCGAAAGGCGCGTCGGGCGGTGATGCGCGAGAGCGGGTGGTCAGCACGCGGTCAGCATTGGGTGTACGCGGGTGCACGGTAGGCGATCGGATCACGGGCGATAGGAGGAAAGCGCGGGGAGCGAGCGACGGGCGAGATGGGCGCGCGGGTGAAGGTCACGCGGGTGGTGTCCGCAACTTAGCAGGCGAAGGAATGGCAGGCGCGCGACGGCACGCGCGCGAGAGGATCGGGTGGAACCGGGCGCGCAAGAAAGCGCGCGGGTGTGGCGCAGACGCGGGAGTCCTACACTGCGAAGGCATAGGCGTGCTGGACGCGTACGCGCGCAAGGGCGGCAGCGAAGAAATAGCGCGCGGGATGGCGCGCGCATGGTGGGCAGATGCGCGAAGCCCATTCCGTGCAGGACTAGGCGAGCGTGAGGCGGTGCACGCAGACGTGGGAGACGCACGTGCGAAGCCGCGCACGACAAGGATTAGGCAACGTGAAGGTGGCGTGCGCGAAGTAGCGCGGTGAAGACTTGGGGCAAGAATTGGAATTGTTTGTAGTGCAAGCCAAGCA